TCGCAAAGCTCGTTCTACTCACTACAAGAGTTTGAAGGAGGAGAAAGAAAAGCGACAAGTAAGGAGCGAACCTTATGAGACGCCAGCTGATAAGGGAAAGCATAGGGAAAACTTTGTTAAGAGATCTGGAGGAGGGAGTTCTGGATCCATTAAATGCTACAAGTGTGGCGAGATGGGTCATAAGTCTTTTATGTGTGGAAAGCCCAAGATCAAATGCTCTAACTGTGGAGTTCTTGGGCATGATGTTAAGGATTGTAGAATGGATGTAGTGAAGTGCTACAATTGTGGAGAAGTGGGTCACATCAGTGCGAAGTGTCCTAAACCGAAACAAGCTTCAGTAAGTGGGAAAGTGTTTAGATTGGCAGGGTCAGACACTACCACTGCGGATCGTTTGATTTGAGGTATGTGCTTTATTTATGTTGCACCTTTAGTTGTCATGATTGATATCGGAGCGACTCATTCGTTCGTTTCTTTTGAGTGCGCTTAGTGTTTGGGATTTGAATTCCGTTGGTTTGACGGTGATTGAGAATGAAGACTTTAAGGTGATGACGTTGGACAACGTATGGGTCTGAGATTCGAGCTCATTGGGGTAGAATGACTAGTATGTCATTCCTGATGAGGTGTAAGTGTTATGGTTGTATTCTCTAGGGTAGAATGACTATGTGTCGTTCCTAGTGGAGAGATCACCGGGGTAGAATGACCTAGATGTTGTTCCTGGTGAGGTACAAGAGGTGTACCCGTAATCTCCAATGGAGATTGATGAGGGTTGACAGTCTTTTAGGAGTCACATGGCATATCTGTGATTGTGATATGGAAGTATGCGTGTGGGTGATCGTGTGTAACTTGGGCATTAAGGAGAGGACGCGAAAGTCGTGTTCAGTGTGTTTGAATCAGGTGATATTTTCGAGGACGAAAATTTCTGAGTGGGGGAGAGTTGTAACGCCCCGATTTTGATTATCCCCTTTTATTGGGTCCCTAATTAATTTAATTGGGAGAATATTATTTGAATGTAGAAATTGTGTGGAAATATGTTATATTTACATATTATCCTATTTTAACCGGTTTTGAGAGGTTTCGGAGGAAATAGTTTGGAGGGTATTTTGGACATTTCCTATTTAATAATAAGTGAGATATTTATGAGATATTGAATTAGTGGATGTTTTGGAAAAATAAGGGAAAAGATATTAAAGAGGAAATAGAAGGGAAAGAAAAAGGATAGTAGGAAGAAAGAAAGAAAAGAGAAAGAAAGGAGAAGAGGAGAAAGAGAAGAGAAAGAGGAGAAAACCTAGATTCACCAAGATCAACCAAAGCTTGCGATTAATCAGGTAAGGGTGTGAAACTCCATCATCTCTTTAATGTATATGATTGTATGTGTATGTGTGTGGATTTTGTAGAGTTTCTACTCTTTTCCACTTAGGTTAGAAGTTGGTTTTGTGAGTAGAATGAGGTTTTAATCAGTTAGAACTCGGATTAGACGATGTAGTTTAGTCGGGTGATGATTGGGTTGTGCCACTGAGACTGGTTTGGATTTAATCGGTTGATTTTGTGGAGTTTGGGCTCTTGAGACAGCCATGGAAGTTCTGTCTTCGCATGCTCGCCAGGCGAATGGCAGCGAAGCTTCGCCAGGCGAAGCCCAGCGAGCTGCAGCGAAGCAAGTCAGAAGCAACACCCTGTATTCGCTGGCAAGTTCGCCAGGCGAGGTTAGTTGGCGAAGGTTCGCCAGGCGAGTGTGTAGCGAGCCTCAGCGAGTAATTCCAGAATTACTCCCAGTGGACTTCGCTGGGGAGTTCGCCAGGCGAAGGTCAGCGAACATTCGCTGCGTGGCTTCGCCAGGCGAAGGTTGGCGAATGCAGCAACATATTTTATCTTCCTGTGCTTTCCAATGGAGGATTGGTTATGTGGTTTGGTTGCGATCATTCCTTGTCAGAAATGACTGATTATGTGTTGTCATATGTGTTGTGGATAGCCGTATGGCGTGAATCCTAGTTTATGATTTGTGAGGTGCGAGGTGTAACCGTTTGGCAATTTTGTGCATTTGCTTAAATTGATTAGAAATGCATGGAGGAATTGTTTGTGAATGTGAACCATGTGTGATTGGTTTGAATGGATGATGAATATATATATGTTTTCTTTTTGATACATATATGTTGAGTGCACAATATATATATGCGATGAATGTGAAGAATGCATGAGTATGTTTGTAAGCATGTATGCATTTCAAGAAGTGTAGGAAGTACATTCTTGTGCCGATTGACTCTTAGGAGAGTCTGATGAGTGATATGACTTTTAGGAGAGTCTGAAGGGTGAATTGATTCCTAGGAGGATCTGATGAGAGATGTGATTCCTCGGAGAATCTGCTGAGTGACCTGATTCCTAGGAGGATCTGATGAGAGATGTGATTCCTCGGAGAATCTGCTGAATGACCTGATTCCTAGGAGAATCTGATGAATGGTGTGATTCCTCGGAGAATCTGACGAATGATGTGATTCCTAGGAGAATCTGACGAACGATGTGATTCCTAGGAGAATCTGACGAATGGTGTGATTCCTAGGAGAATCTGATGAGTGATGTGATTTCTAGGAAGATCTAATGAGTTATAGGATACCCGTGAGGGGTGAGAGTAAATTGATTCTTAGGAGAATATGATGGACGATTAGGTCGATATTGTGTTGCATTTGCATAGAGTAGCGAGTTGGCCTCTATGATTTGCATTTACCTTCTGTGCATGATGTATGGTGAAATAAATATGTTATGTACGTTTGTTGAATTAATGTGAAATGTATGATTTGGCACAATGTAGATGTTGGACAATATATACATATATGTGTGTGTATGTTTATGAAATGATATACACATTGATGATGCATATTGAGCACGCTTGGGTCCTATTTGTATAAAGATACATTGCAATAAACGAGGTGAGTTGTGGTGAGAATGCGTAGATGCATAATTGTTGATACGATATATATATATATTCATGCCTTTATGCATTATTTATTATGATATTGTTTCTCACCCTTCTGCTGTTTGATAATGCTCTATGAGGCATTGCAGATTAGATGGCTGGAGACATTTTTGTGAAGCGTGACTTCATTCTTTTTGGTCGGTCGGCTCTGATATGTAGCACCGGGTAGATAGGAGTTATTTTGATTCTTTTGTGATACATCTGTGTATGTATCTGCTGATGTTATGTTTTGTTAACATGTTGGATGACAATTGTATATGTGAATACATGTCTTGGAAATATGGAATATTTAGATGTTTTCGCCTTGTTCTAAATATTTTCTTGTGGGTGTTGACCCGTTGTTGCATATCTGATTGAGCAGGTGTTGTATGCGTTGAATTCTTTTGTGATAATGTGATATACCCCTTTTATGCCATAACTTATATGTACTCTGATAAAAATTTGAATTATGCTTAAATGATTAATTGTATTAATTTGGGGGTATAGAAAGGGGGTGTTACATGGTGGGCCTAGGGTAGTAGGGTGGGGGGTTTGAAGGGTTTGGGTTTGGAGTCTTTGAGTTTAGATTCAATGAGTTTGGCAAGTCCAATAGCTTGAGAAACTGAGGTAGGTCGATGAATAGCCATTTCGCTACGAATATCATGTGATAAACCAAAAATGAAGCAATTTAAAATTGCCTCGGGCGGTAACCCAACCACTTGATTACCAAGTTTTTCAAATTTAGTTTGATAATCAACGACGGATCCATCCTGTTTCAATTTGAATAACTCTGCTTGATGGTTATCATATGTAGAGGGACCAAAACGTAATTTCAATGCTCTAGTAAAAGAAACTCAATCTGTTAGTAATTGGCTATGATGCATCCACTTGAACCAACCTAAAGCATCACCCTTCATGTAAAACGAAACTAAGACTAATCTGTTTTCTGGTGGTAAATTGTAAAATGAAAAAAATTGGTCAGCTTGGAAAAGCCATTCTAAGAGATTGGAGCCATCAAACATTGCAAGTTCAACTTTAGGGGTGCAGTAAGGGGGTAAGGGGGGCATTTGGGAAATTTGGGTATACGGATTTTGGGGAAAAGAAGGGATATTGTAATGTTGATTTGAATGAAATGCTTGTGGGGAAGAGAGATACGGTGGAAAGGAGAGTTGGGACATGGTAGATGCGGTTCATGGTTGCATAGTGAAAATGGGGGGTGGAGGTAGGTTAGAAAACACAGTAGATGTTCGAAGGGGGTGTTTGTGGGAGTAAAGGTTTGAAGTGTAGGGTTTGTAGTAAGGGATATCGGTGGAGGGTTTTGTGTAATACCTGATGAGCTAGCTGCAGAATGAGTAGTGATAAGATGGGGATCCTTTTGCATGACTAGCTTGTTGAGGGATGACATGAGGGTTTCAAATCTGGAATCTGCAATTTGTTTTTCATTGTCTAAACGAGTGTGAATCTGGCCAATGTGTTGTTCCAAATCTGCTGTAGCTCTATCAAATCTTTCATCCATTTGCTGTTGAGTTTGAGCCATAGCATTATCTAAGTGAATGTGAGTTGTTTGAACAACTTCTTCTACAATATCTTTGGGATTTTGGGGTTCTGTGGGAGCCATGAGAACCAGAAATGAAAGCACCAATGATAAAAACACTAGACTACCAAGACCAGAATTGCATTAGAAAATAAAGCAAATAAACAACTTTTCTTTCTTATCCATGAACATCTCATACAAGACATTTATAGTTAGGGTTACATAAAATAGATGGGCCATGGGCCACTTACCCAACTAATGGTAACTTAAAATTTACTAAATACACCACTAATGAGTGATAAAATCCTTAAGTAAAATTGAAGTCTTTTTAATTCTATTAGGCCTATTTAATTTCCTAACACATTAGTTTAATTTGGCCGATAATATTGTTTGAAATATTACATTTTAAAAATAGTAAAACATGCAACAATTCACTTTACTAAATAGATGAGATGTTACACCAAACACATTCCATTAATCATGCCATCCACATTATTCCAACTTGTATGCAATATACAGAAATCAAATCACTGAACAATCTGTACGAATATTCCCATTCTGCGAATTCTTAACACCAACTCTCCCCAATTTAGTCATGGCAGCAACAAAGTTAGCACGAAATATTTTATTACTACTAGCAAAAGCATTCACTGCATTCTTAGACCTTGAATCCGTGAACAAAACTTGATCTGAAGTGAACAATCCCTTTCCCTTTTGAAGATTCTTGAAGTAAACATTATCAAAAGCATGTGGAGTTACTGGATCCATGTCAATTGCAACCCTCGGATCAACGTTTCTTGGACACATTGATTTTAGTTTTGTTGCGTAATGTAGGTCGAGTGTAGGGTCTACTCGAGATTTTGAGTTGAAATTGTAGACTCTGTTGGAGAATTTGTTGCAGTGTGAGAAACCAACAGTGTGTGCACCTGTAGAGAGAATGAATCAATGAAACTATGAAAGAATCCAAAGTGTATGTATAGTAATTTTCTCATATGATCTTTTCCAACTTTTCAAGGATGATAACTTTCGGTTTTTTTAATATATAGAAATTGGATTTCTTGCCGACAACCACAAGAAATACTATTTATGTGTGTGAGCCTAAATAAATTAAATTTGTGGTCGTGACTACACAAAGTTTTGCTCCTATCAAGCATGTCCCCCGTGTTGTAGTGCTTTGGCCAATTGTGTGAATGTGTGGGTTTGAAACAGTATAGTGGCAACCACAGGGGAACATAGAACATGCATCATGATAACATGTGTTTAGAATTATTTGACCAACACCATTTAATTAAAAAGTGTAAATCAAGCGGTGCATTACCTGAAAGTGCAATCATTTCTGTTTGTGTAAGCCCGTTCCTTGCAAAAAGAGAATTAAGCTGATTCAAGTTGAATCCAGGCTCAGGAAGCCTCCCATTAACATCTGAATCTTTAGATCTTAGACCATCAAATCTTCCTAATTCAACCTCATAGTAAGGTCCACCCGCCTGAAAAATACAATTTCAGAACACCTGACTGACATGTATTAGACACCAGACATGTAATTCTAGGTCACTAACATGTATCAGACACCCAGACACGAGACATTATTCAGAGATGTGAAATGTAATTTCAAGACACTGACATATATCGAATACTAGAGACACAATTATTCAAAGATGTCGGTGCTACATAGATTTAATAGACTTGTATTAGAATCAATTAAGAAACAGACAAACCAATGCAACAACATCACGGGTAGCCATGGCTAAAATATCAGCACATGAAACTTTATTCCTGCACAAAGGAACAGCATCCACAGCTTCTTTAGCTTTGATAACCGTATCAAATCCATCTCCAGCCAAAGAAAGATTATCAGGATGATCCCTCTCTGCTCTGTTATGTGGGGTAGATGACACAAGAACAGAACCATCACAACCCTGTGAAACATGCATACATAAGGGTTTTTACATTTTACTTTGATTTGAAATACATGCAATTGAAAAAAAAAATTGATAGTTGTTACCTGAACAAAGCAATCATGGAAGAAGAGACGAAGCGTAGAAGGAATTGTTGTAAATGTTTGATGAAATTTCTTCTTGACAGCTTCTCTGACAATGCTTTCAACATTGGGACAGGAGTTTTTGTAGTGGTGTCGACTTAATTGGGCATAAGTAGGACATGAATGAAGACAGAGAATTAAGAAGAGTAACCAAATTAGTAAAAGATTAAGCTGAGACATTTGATGTTTTTCTTTTCAGAGGTAAAGGTAAAGTAAAGGAGGAGTATATAAAATGCAGTGTGTGAGAGTGAATTATATGGTTTAAGTAGAAAAATATGAGAGAAAGAGAGTGATATTACTATAGGGGAAATGAAATTGTCGGGGTCACGAGCCAGTTGGATTTAGAATCTTTTCAACTTTTTTTACAGTAAGAAAGTGAGTTTTGAGTAATAATAGAAGAATGATAATGCATGTTATTGTTTGAAAAGGACATGATTAATTGATTGATGGCTATAGATGAGACTTAATTAGTGAGGTTGGCTATAAAGTGTATTAATTTTTTTAAGTTATATTTATAAACTTCTTTTAGTTGCTTTCAACACTTTATTTCTTTATTATTTCCATTCTTTCTATTAGTTCTAGCAGCTTATCAGGCACACGCAAAATCCAATCACAAGCATCATATGAAATACACGATCAGGTGAGACCTCGCTCAAATACATAACACGTGATTTTGATCTTTAGTCTGTCTTTTATCATTGAATTTAATCGAACAACAATTTGTACAATGTGTTAGATTAGACGAAAGTGATTTTAACCGCTCATTTTATATAAATTTTGCACACGTTATTTTGTATTCATTTTATTCTCACTTTTAAACTACTTTTGCTTCATTTTATCGATTTGTGCGTTAAAGTGCTAACCAAAAACGTGCACCATTACACACGAATCTTGTTACTCTCCATAAACACCTATTCATGCCTCCAACAAGGAACGCTGGCACAGTCTAAACGAATTGACATCTAACTCCTGCGAATCTCCATGAGAAAGCACCATATCTTTAACGTAATTCGACAAACATATGGTCTCCTTCATGTTTGAACAACCGATCTTTCTTGTACGGATTGCTGATAGATCTCACGAAGCCATGGCAACATCAAAATCTACTAGAGTATCCGTCCAACGCATTACTGCAGTGGCGACTATCTCTACAATCAACGCCCATATCTTGCGAGGGAGGACAATACAATCCTAGTAAGTTGCTCCTACGCCTCAAAATGCAGTCCCTCTGATGATTGGTCAGGGACGTTCCCAGTTCTCCCAACCTTTCAGTCTTCTCAACAAACCAGTTTAGGAGTTCAAAAGGGGAAGAATCCGCTCAAAAGTGTTTATTACCTAGTTTAGCAAAAGAAAACACTTTTTTTGGCTGAAAGAATACTTTGAATCGAAGAAAATTTGCAGCACACTTTTCCAAGGGACTACTCCATACGCGAGGCCGCTTCACGCATTGATTGGAGAGTTGTGCCAAAACTAATCATTGATGACACAATCTTTTTGTGTTGAGCGGTCCTTAGATCACCAGATCATATTTGGCGCCGAAAGCATCAAATTCCACCACATGATTTCAGAGGAAGGGATGGCAGCCACACTCCACCAGAGGTTTGTCGTCCCCATCAAACGCTCTCACATCATTCTTGAAGAGAAGAAAGGCGCGACATCAAAGCACATCCTTGACAGTAGGATCCCAAAATGTCATGAGAGTCCTCCAAATTGGGGATAACTTTTATTGTACAGGAGATCCCACCCATAACGTGGTTCAAGTCCCTCCCCGACGGGCGTATAAATTCCTGGAAGGATCCTTGTGACACATTTAATGCCCAACTCATTATCCAAAAATGGAGTCCTCTAAAGGTGTGGTACTCAAGGGATCCAAGAAAAGAAGAAGGAAACATTGCGAAAGTATATTGGTCGGTTTACTAGAGTGCCAGTAAAACTGGGAAGGATGAACACCGGTTTGAATCTTGGATATTTAAGAAGGAGTTGAAGGTGGAATACATGTTCCGTGAGAATCCAGAGATGGATGGAACCATACGCCTAAATGATCTCTTAACTAGGGCCCAACCGTACATCAATTGCAAAAGAGAACTCCTAGCTAAAGAGGTAAAGAAAAATCGAGGAGAAGAAAACCCAAGAAATGGACAAGCACCATAGAAACACCATAACTATTGTAGGGATGATAGAGACAGGGGGTCTTATGCTAGATTCTCTCCTTACATCCCCCTGAACACGTAAAGGGAGAGAATTCAATAAGAATATGTGAATAGCAACTTCAAGAATGACGAAATAAGAAACCATTGCTCAGTGAAGGAACCATCCATGACTCATAAGACGAGGTTCTACCATTATCATAAGACCATGGTCACAAAACTGACGGATGCGTCCACTTGAATGACACAATTAAAGAACTGGTCAAGAATGGAAGGCTTACTCGATGCACCCATTAGAGCATTTGAATAATGTTTAGCGAAGAAAGAAATAACACAAGAAGTGGTTCGAGTCATCAAGGAAAAATTGATCCCCACATTGGGAAAAAGAATCCCCTAATAAAAACATAAAGGTTGTGAGTGGAGCCAAAGGGAAGAAATACATCGTTGGCAAAGAGGAACAGGACCGAAAGGGGAAACATCAATACATCGCGTCCATTACCAGAGGTCTCCACAAAACAAATAACCTATTTAAGGGTACATTTAAGAGAAGAATCACCGAGTCAATTGTGGTAGGTAAAGAAAGGCGACAAACCTATTATGGAATACCAAAGAGATATACCCTCAAATTTTACGATAGCAAAAAAGTGGGTGGAATCCCAAATGAAATCGTCCCACTGGTGATAACATAAACTATGGAAAAATTTGATGTGTCGATAATTCTCATTGATGAAGGGAGCTCGTGTGAGATCATGTATGTTGATATTTTTGAGAAACTCGGGTTGAACAAGGAAAAGTTATCACCATACAAGGGATTCAACTTTCATGCCTTAACGACATGGTCACACACCCCTAGGGACACATCGAGCTAATAGTAACCTTAGAAGAAGGAAGAGATATTGAAACATTGGACTTGTACTTCTTGGTAGTCCCATGTAAGAGTGTCTACAACAGCATTCAAGGCAGACCATTCTTGACAATGCTAGATGTAGTGGAAAACGTTATCACCATACAAGGGATCTGACTTGCATTCCTTAAATAAATTTTCACATACCCCTCAAGATACATCGAGCTAATGGTCACCTTAGAAAAAGGAAGAGATACTGAGACATTGGACTTGTACTTCGTGGTAGTCCCATGTAAGACCGTATACAATTGAAGTATCATAACATCCATGAAAGTTAGGTCCCTCCAAGTCATCATTCCCTCGAGGTGATCATGTGTACTTCAAAATACCTTTTAAGAATCCAATCAATTATTTTAGCACCGATAATTGAACTCAACAAGATTTGTCCTCATTATCAAAATTCACCTTAATATTTGGCAAGTTATCAATAATTATATGGACTTTTGTAAAATTCTCCACAATGAATTTAGTGTACACCATTCAAAATGAATAAAGTTTTTATTTCAAACATATTTATGAACCAATGATTTTTTCATGTTTAATCATTCAAGCTTGACTCACGTTTTTGCCAAAGTCTTATTCCTTGTGACTTCCTTCAATAATTTATCTATAAGGCACAATATAATGGTACTCTTGACCTTATCCACCATCTCATTCTTCTCTAATTGTGTTAGGTGTATGGACATCAATGTCTCAACACATTTTTGTTAAATAAAAACTGCTTACATCTTCTCTTTACATAACCCAAATTGTTTTCTTTGGAAAATTTATCGATATTTTATTTAGAACTCGTAGTGCTAACTTGTAAACTTAGATCCCTTCCCCGCATTGGAGGCCACTTGTTTAAAAAAATTAAAGAGTTCAAATACACCAAGAAAGATAATGAGTGTGAAAAAATGATAACCAAAATAATTGATCCAAGCAACAATTAATCTACCAACATAATGTGTGCAAATCCACAAACTAACAAGAATAAAGTAGATAATAAATATTTAACACACACAAAAATTTATTACCTAATTTGGTCCAAAATGGTTTGCATTGGGGGAGAGGACAATCTCTCATCCACTTCCAATCAAGATTTTATAGAAGAAATCACAAATGAGTTACATAAAATTGGATCCACAAGTTCATTAGAACACTTTGAAATTTCTACCTGTTTGAGATTCAATATCTCAAAACATTAATACATGTATCACTGAATTCCAAGGTGTTTAAATGATTTTCTAAACTCTTATATATTACAACCAAAATTTAGACTAGAAACCCTAAGAATCCTTATATTTTTATCTCTAAGTTTCTTTCTCTAAAAATCAAGAAAACTTACAATAGACACAAAGTAGGTTAAGTATGACACAAATATTGAGTCGCGCGTCTCATATCCATAACAACTGTCACACATCTTCACCAAGAGGCATAAAACCCCCTCGTGCCACAACTCATCCACGTAACAAATAAGGCAGAACTAAAGTTCTACAAATATGAATCGTCACCCTTCTCACACCCTTTTGTTGGACGGTGTTAGAAATTAGAACTATAATATTGGTGAATAATGGAGAAATTAAGTGTGAAGAGGAAGAGAGAATTTTAATTAGAGAGAGAGAGAGAGAGAGAGAGAGAGAGAGAGAGAGAGAGAGAGAGAGAGAGAGAGAGTAATTAAGGGCGATAATATGAATTTTCATTAACAATAGATGAGGACACCCCTTGCATTTATACAAAAATAGTTAGATTGGGATATATGTTACAACATCAAATAAGTGAAAAACAGAATTCTCAGACCTGTAACCGATTATACAAAACCTATAACCAGTTACAGCTCCTAAAAACTCTAAAAATAGAAACAGTGGTAACAAGTTACTATGAATCTGTAACCAGTTACACCAACGCCAAAATCACTTTTTCTTCAACTTATTTAACCTTTTGACATGCTTGTAATCGGTTACACACCCGTGGTAACTAGTTAAAACACTTGAATTACCAAAAATCTATTAACGTATCACCTTAATTCAAGTGCTCCAAGTCTTTCATGATCATGTTGCTCTTCAACCTCTTGAACACTTCAATTATGACTCTCTTGGTCAACAAATCAACAACTTATTATTTGGTTCGACAATATCTCAATCTCAACA